AGCTTGGTCTTCTTGAATCCTCAGATCCGATTCTCGTCTCATCTCTTCTCGTCTGCCTTCTTCTCTCTCTCTGCCTGATAGTGCGTCTGGCTCTCATAGAGCAGATCGCCCAGCGACGTATACACCTGGTGGACTTTGCCCCAGTGCCTGCACTAGTTGCGTTCCTACTTAGGACGTATATCTACATTCGCTAAGTCGCCCTACGAATATCGAGCCACTCTGTCACTGCTCAAGTCGAGCATCGTTAGGATGGGCCTAACGCAACACCTGACGAGAACTTTCGCAGGTTCGAAACCACTGCCCCCCGCTTTTCCTTACCGGCCCCTGATCTGACCGTCCAGGCCCCTATCTTCGGAGACGGGCAACTGACAGCTGTATTAAGCCGGCCGACGGCCCAATTGCCCCTCGCTTGGACATAGTCCGTGGTAGATGCCCCTACGGGGCATCGACCCCCCCACCTTCAGAGCCTGTCCAGCCACCATACACTTTGCCTCTCTTTCTCTTCATTCTCTGTCTCCCTATGTTGGCCACACCTTGTGTATCGCCCTAGCTGTCACCTATGGAACACTGAAGACTTGCGACACGGTTGCAGCAGCAAACAGGCATACTTGACCCAAGTTGGGTACTACGTCTGGTAGGAACGTAACATGTCGCCAGTGGCCTCCTTCATTGTTGTTTGCAGCTTGCATTGTGGTGGGATTTGCATGCCATGTTGAGTTGATGTTGCAGTGGGATTTGTGCGCCGTCATGGTGTTGTGGGGGTTTGAAGTGGGGCTTGCACACCATGTTGTGATGATGTTGTGATGGGTCTTTTTCTCTGCTTAACAAAGTTTTTGGGGGAAGAGCATCTATAATTTTGTCCATTGTCAACCTGTGAAGAACAGTGGACGGAGGCATGGGTGAATTGATAAATGTTGTCTCTGTTTGCTTTGTACATGTTTACAAGTCATTGGATGCAAAGACAATCACATGGGGCCTATTGATTTGCATGTGAAGAGAGCATGTGCACCGACGTCTACTTCATGTAAAGTGGGACTGAGAAAATTCGCAGGCACAGCAGAGGATAAAGTTGGAGCAATAAGGTAGGGATCATCAGGAACTTGCACCCCTTTATGTAAGCATTTCGTCATCTTTGTCGTTTCTCATTCTCCTCCCTCCCTCATCACAATAGCCAAAATTTAAAAGATGGGGAATAATGGGAACTGTATCTTCTTTGATCCTCATCTTTTTTTTTTGAAACATATATTGATTTCAGTGAAATAAAGTGTAAACAATTTTTTTTAATTAAAACACAATATCTTGGCATTTACTGTCAATCTAAGCTAACTTGTTGAAGTCGGTGAAAAGCCATGGCCACACAAAAGTCACGTGTACATATTAGTCATGCTGACAAAGACGGGCTTTACCCCCCAGTGAACCACCCACTAAAGCCCCCGCTATCCCAAAAAATCAACATATATGGCGAAAAAGAAACTATCGAAACAATCACGCCTCCTTAATATCAAAAAGGCCCAAGTCAAAAGGGCCCAGAATATTGAGGAAGGTGCGACTTGGCCACAGTGACGTCTGATCACATGATTGACCGGCCCTGCAGAGAACAGAATGCGTCAAGGAATGCGTCTCCCAAGTGAGAACTCGGAAGCAACTGAAATCAAAGAGGTGGACAAACCTGAGAGTTACCCAGACATTGTGGAATTGTCTGTGGCTGATTTCTTTAGCCCAGCATCCCGGAACACACCAAGGCAAGCCCCAGCACCTGAAGGGTCCAGAAAACGCGCGCGTGGATCCCATTGCTCCGGAAAATCTGAAAGAACAATCAGAAGGCACAAGAAGGCCAAGAGAGACCTTGAAGCACAAGGGTTCTTCACGTTGCAGGAGTTCTTCAAGCGGAAGGCCGAGAGCGCAAGGCAAGAAGAACCCGCTGAAACTGTCCAGAGCGAGGGCACCACTGCCGAGGAGAACAAGACATGCGAGGAGGACAAGGACATGGCTAACAAGGATGTGCACAAAGGTGAAGTGATCGAAAGTGTCTGTAACATGGATGGCGGTGCAGTGTCGGTAAATGTGCTTGAAGTGGGGGACATAGCCAAGTCAGCAGAGGAAGACGACGCAGCAGGAAGCCTGCACAGTGCCAAGGGTGGCACGACGACGATATGGTTCGAGGAGGAGGAGGAGGAGGAGGAGACCGATGCAGAAGATGAGGCCAAGACAATGGGAGGCGCGAATTGCGCGATGTCAGTGCACAGGCTCTCTAGCAGTGATCTTAGCGACTCAGAACGACTGGACTCTCGCTGGGGGCCTTCTCGGACAGTTCTTTACGAAAGCAAAGAGTCATCTTTGTCTTCAAGTTGCGGCGGTGACCTGAGCGAGCTTGAGGACCTCAATGATACTGACACAAAGGAGCTCATGGGCATCCACCACAAGAATGCCCCTGATGACGCCACCACTCAGCAGCCAGTGCTCAGTGTCACCGAGCTCCTTCAAGACCGCGCAAAGATGCGGGTGATGCGAGAGGAGCTATCGCTCAAGATCAGAAGCACCAGTCTCGACTTGGACTCAGTGCTTCGTGGCCGCACAGTGGCTATGATCGGGCTATTGAACCTGTATCTGGACAAATCTCTGGGCTTCACCTGGAAGCGAGCCTCGGAAGTCTTCGCAAAGTCCGAAGGGCGTGGTACGTCTTCCGCGCGGACGATCCAACGATGGGTGGTCAACTTCATGTGCACCCGAGAACTTCCGAGTCACCAGCATGGCAAAACCCGGCCGTCTGTGTTGAATGATGAAGATGTCGCTCACGAAATCAAACTTGCCCTTGGTGAGAGGGCAAAATGCGGATTCCTCACAGCAACTGACGTTATGGGCATTGTTTCAAGCCCAGAGGTGCAAGCTCAATTTGCGCAGGCCGGCATCAACAGACCATTGATATTGATATGCACCACGCGTTGTTGGTTAGGCAAGTTGGGGTGGCAGTTTGGCAGACACCAGAATGGCATGTATGTTGATGGCCACGAACGCGAGGATGTCGTGGAATACAGGAAGGGTTTCGTGGATCGATTTAAGCAACATGAGCGTCGCTTTCACACCTGGGATGATGCGGGGAATGAGCTCCCTCGCCCCTTGGGCTTCCCTGTGCCCGAGGCGAACGGCCGCTTCTGTCTCATTCTCATCACTCATGATGAATCCATTTTTTATCAAAACGATCAATGACAAACATATTGGGGCTGTCCCAGCAAGAATGTGGTTCCAAGACCAAAGGGAGAGGGCCAAACCCTGATGGTTTCCGACTTCTTGACTGCAGATTGGGGCCCACTGCGTGACGACGAAGGGTGCATCGTTACTGGTCCTTTCCCTGTACAATTCCACTCATGCCTGCACAGTGACACCCGGCTCTTCTTCTGGCCTGGAAAGAACAAGGATGGCTGGTTCACGGCAAATGACCTGCTTGTCCAGGTAGAATGCGCAATGGACATTTTTGAAGGGCTCACAGGCGGATACACGCAGGGGTTATTTCTCTTCAACAATGCGCCCAGCCACCAGAAGCGTGCAGACGATGCAATCTCAGCTCGAGGGATGGTCAAAGGTGCGTCATTGGTTATTCCTCAAATACTTTATCCTCATTCCCCCCAGGTCCGAAGCATGGATGGACACATCATCTCAATGGAGCATGCATGCGTAATGGTACATTACCAACCGGAGAATCACAGAGCTTTTATTACCCAGAAGACCACCCTTCCATGCCTGGCTGGTTCAAGGGCATGGAGCAAATCCTTCGTGAACACGGGCTGTGGCCAGAAGCAGGGTTGGCCACTCAGTGTTCAAAATTCAAGTGCCCCCCTGGCCGCGTGGACTGCTGCTGCCGGCGCATTCTTTTCCTCCAGCCTGATTTCGTTGCTGAGAAATCACAGCTCGAGGAAGCAATCACGGCGTGCGGCCACATTTGCGACTTTTACCCGAAATACCACTGTGAGCTCAATTTTATTGAGCAATACTGGGGTGCTGCCAAATCTCGATACCGCGTGGCCCCCCGAGAAAAAACTCCTCGGGGAATGGAGAAATCTGTGAGGGAGTCCCTCGACAGTGTCCCCCTTATTCAGATTCGACGGTCAGTTTTCTTTTTTTGTTTGTTTTGTAGCTCATTCCCTCACAGGTTTGCGAACCAAGCCGCGCGTTTCATTACCGCTTACAGGGACGGGCTGTCAGGTGCACAAGCGGCATGGGCGAATAAAAAATACCATGGGCATCGCATGTTACCGCCCCAAAGCGTTCTTGAAGCGAAGGACACTGTTGTTTATTAGCTCTCGAAATCTATAGTAATTTACAGAGAAGTCATGTGCATACATCGATAGTGCTTGGATTATCACTCTTGAGTTGTCTGTCAGCCTCGTTAGCTAGCAACTCACAGAAGAACTCACAACAACTTCGATGACACCCCGGAATAAACACAATTCAAAAAAAAAAACAACAACTTTGACGACACCGAGCTCGATACACCCAGGTGCTGTGGCTGCTTACATATGCATTATATAATCGAACCCTAGGGTTTATGGCTTACATAAAGGGGTGCGAGTTCCTGATGATCCCTACCTTAGTGCCGAAAATTTCATCCATCGTCAAACTGCAAAGAATGGTGGATAGAGGCATGGGTGATTTCATAAATGTACCGCAGACGGTCTATGGAAGATGAGGTTGTTATGGTGTCTCAGTCTGCTTTGTACATGTGGTTTTTTTGTGGACTCTTATGTAATTCTCACTTTGTAGTAGACCTTGTCATGCAAGGTGATACACATTAACTAGGTGTAGCTCCAGCTCTGAGATTATAGAAGTATAATAACAAGCATATCATTGTTACAATGCACACCACAATGTGCTGTCACAAAAATATACAATTTCATTTGTAGTACTTGTCAGATGACATAATTTCACCATATATTTGCACCTTTAATTGTTTGTCAACTATCTTATCTATCTTAATTATTGCCTTTGAAAGGTACCTTATAAACTGCCTTGGATGGGATTTGAACCCATAACCACATCAGGTGACTTGTTTTCTAGAATTGAACTTTAACCAGTACACCAACAAGTCTTGTATACCCAAGCAACTATCTTTTATTTATATAGCAAGGCAGTAATTTTATCTACAAGGTAGTCATTCAATATGAAGATGACAGATACACAATATAACAACAAACCAGTGTTAGGGAGCCACAACTATATTACAACAATGATGAACAGCATACATGAAGGTGATACTCACAGTGACAAAGTAGACTGTGGTGAGATATCAAGGTAGGCTAGAAGCAGCAACAGAGTACTAGTAAGTCTTGCAAGTGAAGCAGATGTGGAGTCTGGCACACAACAGATGAGAACTGGTGATATTACAGAGGTGAAGACATACCTGGCACACAACAGATGAGAACTGGTGATGTGCCAGAGCGTACAAAGTACTCTACTTATACTGCTACAGAGGGTGACGCTGGTAACATAGAGTCACAGTAAATACAAGGAGCGCATTGTTCTATACACGGACAAAGGAGTGGATGTAAAGGAGAACAAGGCGATAAAGAACAAGAAGAGTCCAGACTATGATATCATAGTGACATCACAATTAAAGATAAGGAAACAAAGGGAAGTACATAGACGTAGTACAAGGACAGTCCAGAGTGGTCCATGATGTCATGTACATGTGTGATGTCATAGATAAGAGAATACAAGAAGTCCGAGATTGTAAAGATCAAAATAATCTAATCTACAAGTCCTGTATATCTAATCTAAAGCAGTCCGTTATCTGCATGTCCATTGAGCCGCTAAGTGCGCTCAGGCCACTTATCAACAAACAAAATCCTATTTTGAGTGGGTATTATAATAATAAATAATGGGTATTATGATTAGTATATAATCACATCATAGTGATACTGAGTTGTCAAGGAAATTACAACAGTATTATAATTTGTATAAAGTAAGGTGTGGTAGATACAAAGTGGTAAGGGAGATTATGACACATCTGTAAACGCAATTAGGTGTTCAGAGCTGTTCAGAGCTGTTCAGAGTGTCCTTGAATGGCTCCGAAATATCACAAGGATTATAGTGGTCTTGGGATATTTGTAACATCTGTAAGCTATTATATCTAGTTATAACTTTCCAGAGGATTATGTGATGTCAAGGCACCTTGTTCTCAGAGTTCTTTGGCCAATTTGGCATTGTTGACATTGTTGGATACCATACTTGCTCTTCAAGGGAACCTTTCAGTACCACAGCACATCACCTCTTGAATGTGTGTTTTTGGAAACTTGGCAATGACAATGCAGATGCTGGGACCCCTGAAATAAGGTACTTACACTGCACCACAATGGTGCTTGAGGGTCTGCTGCTCCCAGATATGTTGGACAAGGAGGCTGGGATACCGACACCAGTTGAGCTCATGGAGACAATTCTTCGTTCAATGATTGGTGAGTATGATCCACCTCTACTTTTCTTCGATCTCACACTGCTCCCCATCTTAGATCACTACAATTTGTTTCTGGGGGGCATCCTTCACAGGGACATTAGTAGCAGAAATATCCTCTGCCTATGGGAACCAATCAACCGATCCCTTGGCCCATCCATACACTAGTAGGTACTATTGTTGCATCAGGAAAAAGTGGATCCTGAAATTTTAGCAAATTTCTGAAAAATGGTAATATATGTTGAGAAATGAACAATCTTTCTGATTTTCTGGAATTTTTAAAATTATTAAGATAAAAACATCCCCTCTAATATATTTTGTGAAATCTTACCAAATATCTGTATAAATGGACATATGTTCAGTGTGTTTAGGTGAATCTGTTCAAAAATTACATAATTTACATCACATATTTCAGTGCAAACAATTATTCAGTCAACAGTGGCTGCATTCACAAAACAATAATATATTGTAACTAACAAGGGTACATGCAACTATAATCTAATTAAATTGACATAGTTGCACACCGTGTTGCGGGGCGTGGCAAGTTGGGTGGTGGGGTCTTGTGTCCATGTCGGGGTGGCATGAGGCCAGGTTGGCGATGGTGGGGTCTTGCGTGCTGTGTTGGGGTGGTGTGGCAGGTCAGCAGTGACGAGGTCTTGTGTCTGTGTCAAGGTGGTGTGAGGCCGGGTTGGCAACGGCAGGGCCTTGCACACCGTGTTGGGGCAGCGTGGCAGATCGGTGGTGATGGGGTCTTGTGTCCATGTTGAGGTGGTGTGAGGCCGGGTTGGTGACAGCGGGGTCTTGCACACTGTGTTGGGGCGGCATGGTGGTGAGTCAGCGGGTGGTGTGGTCTTGCATGCCGTGTTGGGGCAGCATGGCAGTGGTGGGGTGTTGTGTACCATGTTGAGATGGCGTGGTGGTGGGGTCTTGCAAGCCATGACAGGGCAGCATGTTGGGACAGGGACGAGCGGAGAGGGCGGCCTGCACAAGGCAGCAATGACCTGCAACAGTTCAGAAAGGAAAAAAAAAAAAAACCTATGCACTGGGCCGAAGCCCAGCTTGTCAGCCCGTCTTCCATCTTGGCCATGGGGGTGATCCACATGTAAGAACAGTGTGTGGTAAATGAAGTAAAGAAAAAAAAACCCCACAGGAGAGCACTGAGAAGAAATGGGTGGATGTTCACACGTTCACACGTTCACATGTCAAAGACACACCTTCCCACACCACAGATTAAGCCTCTGCTCGACACAATTTTTTTCAACAAGTTGCCAAGGGGGGTCAAATTATTTAAAAATTGCACGGGGTAGGTAAATTTTTTTAAGGGATTTTGGTTGACCTCCCCCCCCCATGTACCACCTAAAAAAGGAAACTTATACCAAAAAAGGAAATTTTGGGGGGCCACAAGTGAGTGGCGTGACTCCAAGATGGACCTGACAGTGAGAGGAGGGCTTGGGAGAGCTTATGAGCAACAAGTGCACCCCCTTTGTGCACCCTCTGAACTAAAAAGACAGCCCAGAACCTAAAGTTTTTCAGGGATTTTGGTTGACCCCCCCCAACCCTGCCCCCAACCCCCCTGCTGTGGGCCATAAAGTGGAAAATAACTGCTGGCTCACCACCCCACATGGCACGCAAGACCCACCACTGCCCATGCCACACTGACACAGCACGCAAGACCCCGCCGTCACCAACCCAGCCTCATGCCACCTTGACATGGATGCAAGACCCTGTCACCGCCAACTTGCCACGCCACCCCAACACGGAGCGCAAGGCCCTGCCATCGCCAACCCGGCCTCACCACCTTGACACGGATGCAAGATCACCGCCAACCCGCCATGCTGCCCCAACACGGCATGCAAGACCCCACCGTTGCCAACCCGGCTGCATGCCACCCCAACACAGACACAAGATCCCGCCACAGCCAACTTGCCACACCCCCCAACACCACCCTGACATGGACGCAAGACCACAGCACTGCCAACCCACTGCCACGTGCCAATACGGTGTGCAACTCATATTAGTTATATTAGTTAGATTGTACCTGTATGTATAGTAACAAATATATCATTGTTTGTGAATGAAACCATGGTTGACTGAATGATTGCTTGCGCTGAAATGTAAATCATGTAATTTTGGACACATTCACCTAAAACATACTGAATATATGTCCATTTATGCCAATATTTGGTAATATTTTGTAAAATATTACTGGATATTTGGAGGGAGGTTTTTATGTTACCAAATTTGACAAACTTTGAAAAATCTGGGAAATCGGAAATATTGTTAAAAGTATACCACATTTCAACAAATCTTACTATATTTCAGAAATTTGTTAAAATTTTCAGGATCCGGTTTTTCCTGATGCTGCCCTAGAAGGTTCCCTGTCTGCGCACGGACCACAGAACCCAGATAAGTGGACTTAGCTGAGTATGAACCTCATGCACCTGCATGTATATATACCAGGCTTGTCTTCATACTTGAGTCCTCAGACTTGAGTTACTTAGCAATACCAGCTTTGTATCTTGGGAACCTTGCTCTGTGTAATGCCACCACAGGGGCATTGTAACACCGCCACTGGCGTTTAGTCTGACTTGGACTTTGAAAGGGCATAGACAACTTAGCAAATTGTGGAGGGGGTCATGTGATGCAAATACACGGCCTCTTGGTGCACATGATCATTAAGAGCACTAGGGCTAAGTCCACTAGGCGTAGTTGCTGCACAACTTGCTCTACTAGAGTCAAGCATAGGAAGAGACAGGCACATGAAGAGAGGAGGAGGAGAAGGAGAATGATGGCTATTGAAGAAGACCAGAATGGTGTTTCTGGTCTTTGACTCCTGTTATTTATACATGAAGAGGGTCGCTTTAAAGCTCCCCTTGAATCTGTACTACTAGTAGCGTAAATAGCTCAAACCCTACTATCGCTGTACTAGTAATGAGTCATGCCACATCAGCATGTGATATCATACTGCTGACTGATGTGAGAAGTCCATGACCTATTACTACTTACTAAGGGAGTTACAGCCACCTAGCAAGTGTCCACTTCACCAACTGTAACATCACCCCCTTTTCAGCTGTGATGCCCATGGTGCTGAGTAGGTCCAATCCCTCCGGTCCAGCCTTCCTGCACCTCTGTGATCCGATCCCACACGTTAGCCATCTCGAGTCTGAACTTGGAGCAGGTAAGCTCCCCCTGTACCCCACCGAGCACCTGGGCTAGGGTGTGGAGGCGCTGCACCATCCTTTCAGCCTCCCACTTGTACGCCCTGTAATGAGTCAGCTCTGCCTTCAAGCTCACGTCCTTGAGCTCATTGACGGTGTGATCCACGCAATGCTGGTTGCTGTGTCCGCCAACGAAGGCGTACATGTCTTCGGGGGCGTAGTGGGGCTTCCCTGCCTCACGCACCTGCAGTTTGGCATACAGCGGTCGCAAGTAGACCTTCTCGCTGTCGTCAATGAGGCTGAGTGTGAGTGGGTCCAGACCCATGATGACCTGGATGAAAGTCGCCTGTTTCGTGACCCCCTGGGAGTCAGTGATGGGGTAGTTGACATAGTCTTCCCTGTGGTTATGCTTGTAGCCGTGGGGGGCGTGGCGACTGCTCCCACTGGTGTAGTGGAGGTGTACAGCTGGTTGGGGGGCATCTT